GGCCCAAAGTTAAAAACTGTTGTTCTTTTGAGGCCCTCAAGGTGGCGCTCACGGCCCACAGTTGGGTCGCGGCCCATGGGTTAAGAATCTCTGAAATAGAGGTCAATGCTTACATTTCTCAGGATTCTTTCTTGTAGAACCAACTTCCAGTTTCAGTCTGTGAGGCTGACACTTTGTCTACTTAAAACCAGGCTTAAGATTTACATTAAAAAAATCCTATAGTTAGGGTTGGCTTGGGTTTCCTGAGCTATTGCTTACTTCTGCTGCTATAGGCTAGACCAGTGATTCCCAACCAGGGGTACGTGTACCCTTTGGGGTACGTGAGCATATTACAGGGGGTACATGGAAAAAATTCCCAAATGTTTAAAAAATAAATAAAATAAGACTGGGATATGTCGGGCCCTGTGATTTCAGCAATGCAGAAAATGCAGACGAAATCGTGGAATTGACACAAAATGGAATCCAGTATAAAATGCAGAATCTCTTGGAATTTGCTCATTTGGGCGAGTTTTTTGATGTATTTTGGACGCTGCTGCTTCCTGCACCTACCCTTACCTGGTTTATTTATTTAATTACTTATTCATTTTCAAGGCAACATTTTTATCTTTATGTTTAATTTGATTTGAAAAGAATAAAATACCTGAGAATTAAACGTTCTTGGAGATTAAATAAATTATTTTTACTTACTAACAGTTGATGTACATTATAGTTTCAGAGAATCATCATTACATTTGACAGAGGGGTACTAGTGGTGTGACAAAATGGCTCAGGGGGTACACAAGTCTAAAAAGGTTGGGAACCACTGGGCTAGACTGTTGGAGTACAAAATGAACATATTTTCTCACACTGCTGCTGTGTTTACTCGCTCTACTCTACATGATTATTGTTGTAATTATTTCTATCATTAACGTGTTTTTCTTCCCAGAGAAATCAGACCTGGACCAGTCATTCTGTGTTTGTCTACGTGTCTTTTTTGTCCTCTCAAACCCAGCCAGTCGAGCCAGATGGCAGCTCGTCTTGAGTCTGGTTCTGCTAAGGGACTCATTCCTTTTCTCTGTTGCGTTCGTGCTGCTTAGAATGGGAGTTTGCAAAAAAAAGTGAAAATTCGAGGCAATCTTCTGGTTTCTTTAGATTAAAAACTTCTCCTACTTGGCATTTATATGTTTGTGAATGTTTTTGTATATTGCCCTAAAATTATTTTAGCTGTTAATTGGCTCTATTTAATAACAAATCAAAACTCGCATCATGTTAAAATCCACTCACGTGTGTTTTTCCACTTCCTGTTTGTCCGTATGCAAAGCAGGTTGCCATTCCTCGCTCAAATATGGTTTCAACAAGCGGGTGAGCCGTGAACCTTTGGCAGAGGAGGTGCTTTTTAGAGGCAGATACACATTGTGTTTAGCAGCAGGCAGGAAAAAAAAACACAATACCTGTAAACCATTTCATTTGTTGAGTTCTCATCAAATGCATAATCAAATCGGAACGTCTGGTTTTCCAGGTAACGAGTCAGGTCGACTTTCTGCTTTGGCTCATGGACCATGACCACGTCTTTACTAGGAATGGTGATGACATCCAGATCCTTCACTGACAACTCTAAACAAAAAAACAACAACCACAAAATTAAAACTAACCTATGCAATGAATGTTTATAGTTATAGTGAAAACAAGAAAACCTCCCTTTAGCAATTTTCCAATCTATTTTTTTTTGCTAATAAGATTGTAATACTTAAAAATCAAGAATTGTTTATTGTCATTCATACACAACACCAGATGCAATGCAGAACGAAATTTGCAGTTTTGAACATCTGTCCGGAGAAACACACACACACACACCACAGACAAGGGGGAACGAATGTCCAGGGCCCTGCACAACGACGTGCGCTACCTTGCAGTTTAGTTTAGTACACACACACACATACACACAGGAAGGATGAGTTTAAAAAAGAGCTTTGATCCTGTGTTTAATACAAAAACAGAAAACACACGAGCATCACTCAAAAAAACTATTCTGCATATATGGACGGGATGGGAAGGGATTGCAGAGGAACCAGTGACATCAAGGACAAAGTGCCGGGACCAATCAAAGACCTCCAGAGTCCAACCAGTTGTTATCAATTTAACACAGTTCACCAGAGTACAGTTCTCTGTTCCAACCAATGTGGCCTCGGACTGGGACCAGACACAGGTGGGGGATGGGGAGAGGGAGGGGGGAGAATCCAGGCTTCCACCCACACATATCATCCAGGGAGTTTTATCAGTCTGTGAACAAGGTCACATCTGTGGGGGTCCAATGATGGAATAAGTTCTTTAGAGCAACAGCAGACTTCTTTCCTCCACTGCTTTAAGTCTTAACTGAGCCTCTGTGTTGTGAAAATACCAAATATTCCAGATCAGTTACCATCTCGCCTCTCCTGTATGAACTTCACCCAGATGTTGCCCTCACTCCTCACGCCGCTGGGCTGTGATCCTCGTCAGAACCACATCCAGTTTGTGATTCAACTCTGCCACCATTTGAGTCTGTGTTGTTCACCGTACGAGAGATTCCATCCAGGGACACTGACAGCTTCTCACAGGCCCGGGCTGCTGTCAGTGTCGTTCTCATTTTCCGATAAACCAGAACCCCTCCACAGCCGATCAGCAGGAATCCGATTATCATAAATCCAAACATGAAAACATCTTCGACCTCCTCAATGGAAAGAGGTGCCAGGTAGATCAGGTTC